ATTTAGCTATTAACCTGTCCTAACTCACATCATATCACGCGAGATTGAAACAAGATGAAATGTTCCTTGTAACCCAAAGCCTTATAGATATGATATGGTTAAAGAAGGAATCATTCAGGAACACATAGAAAACATGATCTTTAATCAGGCGATGGATATCATTCTTTGGCCGGTGCTGAGAAAAAAAATGTTTTATATACCTAGATGATATAATTGTAACCTTGGAATCACTAGAAGACCATGTAAAGGCCGTCTGTGAAGTATTTTCTTTATCTGAAGCTGCGAGACTAAATGTAAATATTCAGAAACGCAAAATGCAAACTTGCGTGTAAAGATTTAAGGTGTTTGGGATTTAAGATCACAACAAGAAGGCATTAATACAGACGAGTCAAAACTTCTTATGGTGAAACATCTTCGCCATCAAATATTGCCAAAACATTACCATTGTTCCTTTGATTATACTTTTATAATAGAACATTTGTCAGAAATATTTCAGACATTCCCTAGCCTCTTTTTGAGTTAAAAGGGAAAAATAAAAGTTTAAATTATCTGAATAGGCAAACGAGGATTTTTCAGAGCAGCCTAAAACAGGCATTGATCACAGCCCCGGTTTTCAAAGTGTGCGACACACAAAATACTTTACAAATTTACAGTGAGGCATCTGATTTTTTAAGATGAACAGTTCTAATGCAAGAGAACGTATTTTAGTAGAACTTTAGTTCGACGGAAAGAAATTATTCCATAACTAAATGGGAAGCTCTGGCATGTGTGTGTGCGGTGAAGAAATTTAGAATTTATTTCTCGGAGAAACCAACCGAAAATGTTCACCGATAATGCGTTGTTAACGAAGTTGGAAAATGCAAGAAATTGAACTTGAAAAATGAGGATTGACCTCGAAACTGCAAGAGTAGAATCTGAAATTCCAACATCGTCCGGGAAGGGAAAATAAAGAAGCACATGTTTTATCAAGAATTAAACTAGACTAAAATGGCGATAAAGTTAAATGCAACATCCTAAATTCTTCTTTTTTAGGTTCTAGGGAAGCATTTATTAACGAATTGCAGCGGGAACCATAATTCCCACAAATTTATGTACATTTTAAAAGATCAGGAAAGATTCAAGCAATGAACGACATGGGAATTAAGGATAGACCTATCATAATGAAACTACCGATGACCACTAAAAATGAAAATGTGATGAACTCTGACAGCATAATCAGTGATTCCGTTCTTACTACTCTGGGCTTTTACATTCGCATGACTGAACATATCAAGGTAAGTGTAGCCATTCAATTGCATTACTGCCCAAATCGTGATAAAACAAGCCCTTTCAACTCTGACAAGAGTTTTGACCTCAGCTGTGTTTGATTAATGGTTCTCTTCGGATAGGACAAGAGACGGATGATAAAATGAACTTCGAATTCTTTATAATTAATCCTGACATACATACTTGTCTGCTGTAACTAATGCATGCTGTCTAGTCCAAATTTTGTTGTGAGGAATAGAGTAACTAGAATACAGTCAGCATCTATATGGAAACGAAACATGATAATGAAAAAAGTAAAATTAGGCAAGAAAACAACCCTAAAAATGAGAGGAGGAAAACTTACTGTTACTTCTGAAAAAGAGAAATCTATCTTTACCAGTCGCCTTTAAAGTCGATAGAGTTTTATTTAAAATCTGCAACAAGATAAGTTTGCTTTTCCATCTGATTTACAAACAGCTTATTTTGCATGTTCGACTAGTACCGAAAATATGAAAGCGAGTTTTGTTTCACTGCCATACATTAGTGCAATTATAATCCTTCTTCTTCCCGCAAACGTCAGAAAATTGTCTTCAGGTGATGTTTCAAATCTGAGAAAGCTACAACAAAGATTACTTAACTCTAAATTTTCATTTATTTGGTTATATTATCGCCAGCTTTTGATAAACCGTTTTTTATTAAGTGTTCATTATTTCAAATAATGCTTATTCCAAATATAAATATCAATTTTTCTCTAATAATAAGAAAATCTGAAAATGGACTAGTCTATCAAGAAACTCTAGTATAAATGCAGTAGTGAGATATTTCAGGAAAGGAAAAGGGTTTCATTATGAGGAACGTGTATGTCTCATGCTGTCGTTGTATTACTCAATCATCAAGAAACATGGCTAGTTTGTTTTGGGTGCATTAACGTTATCTGTTTCATATTTTTATTATTATGGTTGTGAAACAGATAAAATGTAGTACGAGACAAGCTAACGAAACCAGAATTTAAATCAAATAGCGTTCAGAACTGAAGTTTCTACATAAAAGCAGGCCCGCACCAAGCCTAATAGGCGCCGTCGTGCAAATGTCTAGCGAGCGCCTTTATACAGTGATGATATTAAAAAGAAACTGCTTATGGTTAACACTTAAAGTGAAGTATTATTAACATAACAATAAAAAAATTACATTTTCGCTTTTAATTTTTCTAAATGTGCATTTTATGCTTTCTTAAAACACGCACTGAAACATATTTATTGAAGAATTGTAATAAAAAATAACATTGCAAATGAAGCGAACTAATATACTAAACGCATTGGATAACAAATATACTGCTTAGCACTGTTTATTTTCTTAAAATTAAAACAAAAAATTACTTATCTAATAAGTTTGCACCGAATAAGTAGAGCACAAAGAATGCTCTAGGGTTGATGTCCAAAATTCGTTTTTGTGCACCTCTATGTTGTTGAAAACGATATAGAGTTTCAACCGGCGACGCTACATATCTTGGTACTGCAGTTCATGCATAGAATCTATACTAGGTACATCGCTTTCATTTTTATTAGTTAATGCTTTTTGCAGTTTTTGGCATACGTTCAACTGATCTTGTACTATATATAAACGAAACTTAGCCTTTCGTGGTTTCAGTAACAAATAATTCAAAAGCATTAATGATTTTTTGAAAGTATAGAAATGATCGCAAAATTTGCCCCTATCATGTATGTACATTAATGAAACTCAAAACAATATGCCTCATTACCTTGGAGATAAAATTCAAAATGAAATAATTAGCATATTATGGGATAACATACAGCAAATTATTTTAAATAAGATCAAACAGGCAAAGTATTTTTCCATTTTACTTTAATTGTACCGCTGATGCCAGCCATCAAGAGCAGATATCAGTTTCTATGAGGTATTTTAATTTAGAAACTACAGCTGTGATTATTGAAGAAACGTTTTTAGTAAAGAAACTTGATTATTGAAGAAACGTCTTGCAACAGATACGACAGGTGAAGGACTAACAACATTTTTATTAAAGACTTTAGAGAAAAATAGTTTAGACATTAGTAATTTACGCGGGCAAGGATATGACAATAGTTCAAATCAAGTAATTGTGCTCAAATCGTTGTTTATCTGAATTAAAAATTGAACCTAAGTTTAACATAATATGTAACTGTGCTTACCTTTTGTTATGTAAAATAACAGTAACAACAAGCAATAAGCAAAAGAAAATCACAAAAAAAGATAAATGTTGCACAAATTGCTACGATTTCAACAGTATACACAAAATAAGGATTAAGCAATTTAACGAACGCGTCTACGGTGCTGGCGTCTACCCTTACATGCGCATCGACATCCCGTATTTTCACGTCCATTGTTCTCAGATTCCACGTCCCCGTTCTGGAAGGAAGGTAAAAACATCTGCCATCAACAAGGGTCCCAACCCCGGACAGCAGAACGAAGTCACAAAGACTATCAGACAGACCGGACCACCAATCCGGCCTGTTAACCTACGTCATGGTAAACAGACATCGGTTTCAGGCGGGAACCAAGGGAGGATATAAATATGCAATTTTGAAGCTCCAGGCGCCCCCTGAAAACCTCAAGCAGTCTAAAGGCTCGCTGAACTCGCCGACGCCACCGACGGAGGTGTTTCTTCCCGGACAACCATGAATATCTGACTATATAGCTCCACCACAAACAACGGAACGGACAAGACAGTACCACATGGTACTGCCGAGCCTGAACCAGGCATAGCCAGCGACGACTCTAGTCTTGTGAAGACCGATTTTATACCCCTGTGGCCAAGACTACCTAGGTACAGATTATAACCAGTAGCATACCTGAGCCAACTCCGCGGGAGGAGCGTTAAAATAAGACAGTGCACCAGAAGTAAGGGGCATCCAGACCTGGTATGCATAAGGCAGCCTTTACACGGTTAAATCGCCCCATCCCCTGGAGGACATCTGAGGAGGCGCCATCCCCCGGTCTACGCAGGGGAACTTAAATGTTTCAAACAGAACATGGTCATAGTTAGACGTCGATCGTCCCCCAGTTTTGACTAACAGGAGCCCATCCCCCAAGAGCAACCTTCGATATCTAATCATGTAACGCCACCACAACAAAGGGGCAGACAAGACAGTACCATTCCGGTCCCTGCCCAACCTGAACCTACCAACGACTAAACAATGGTTCTGTCTCTGTGAAGACAGTTTATTTACCCTAGAAGCCGAAACAGTCTAGATATTGATCTAGCCATTACGCTGGGATTGCCAGTACCAGTCGAACCCCAGGAGTGGTCATCCGAACATAGTTACCCAGGCAAATCTGGTTACCAGCGTGACCACGAGGAAGCCTATGTCGGATTAGGTCAGCGAGAGGCTAGAACTTTCTTGTTCTGACAGGCGACAAAATGTTCTGCTTGTTTTAATGACTGCCCGGCGCCTTCATGACACGTCGCCGTCGTGCGCTGCACGACCTTGCACCTATTGTCGGCGCGAGCCTGCATAAAAAGTATACATGACAAGTTTTTCATCATATGAGAGTTAAAGTGGAAACGTTTAGCAAAATTCAAAAAGTATTGAATTTGAAAATCTTAATTTTTGAATTAAATTAATAAATTTTATTAAGTTAGAAAGTTGAAAAAATTAATAATAAGCAAGCGTAAAAGTTAGATTTAAATTTCAGTAAACTCAGTACATATTTGTATTATAATTTACTAAGATGACTCTGTAAGAATTTATTTTACTTACTTGCACTTTTTGACAGTCCCTGCAAATTCTATGGTACAGTTTAAATAGTCGGTTAGTTTAAGTGAAAGTCTTTTGTGATCCTCGGGAGTAATAGTTACTTTTCGCCTGAATTTTTCGTAATTAACTACCTAAAACATAAAACAACTATGTATGTAAAATATTTCTGAAGCAAAATTACAGTACAACTGCTTTTTTCTTTCACCAGAGTCATGTACCATTTCTTCAAAACATTAATAAATTTGAACGAATGCCTTGAAACTCTGTTACTTCATAAAATAAATGAAAAATAAATATTAAAGCAGATATTTTTCGGCGGTGTATATAGTAATCACATATTTTAACGAATTATAAGCCAGACTCTACATTTTTTCTAAAAAATAGTATTCCTGTAACTGAAAGTGCACCAATGCATTTATCTTAACGTTTGTCTTTTTCGTGAAATTGTTGTTTTTTATCTATTTCAATAATTTAATCACGAATAAATTTAAAAGCGTTATTAATAGGACTAATATCTAAAACATTTCTCTCTTCTTTAATTTTAATGAGTATAATTCTGATACGTTATTTATTGAATTCAGTAACACACAGTTTGCAAAGCTTGTTCTTAAAAACATTCTACTGACTAGCAAGTCAAAAATTTTATAAAAATTGCCTTATTAATGTCATAAAAAGTATTTTTGCAACAATTTGAAGTACATTTAATTTGATATATGATTACTTTCATGAACTATTTCAAGTTATTTAAGAACATTATCATAACTTTTATGAGACATTTATTACAGGAATCGGAAAAGACATAAAAATTAAGAGTTTTATGCGTAAACCATAGATCAGTTTGAAACTTACCTTGAAGTTCTTTGGTATAGAGCCATTATAACATGATGGTGGATATTTTTCACAAATATTCTTTTTGAATGTTTTGAGCAACACAGTTGGTATACAAGGAGATTCACCGTAGCCATAGCAGATTTCATGCAAATTATAACTGGAAAACAAAAAAGTATAAAAATCGTATTTATAAAAGAAAAACAATAAATCATAGTTTGAGTTTGAATTGCAGATTTTACAAATAAGATTTCATTCATATGTTTTGCGGTCTTTGGGTAGTAAATGATAGAGAGTTATTTAATATGGTTACAAATCTTCAGGCGTTTTTGAGCAGATGGCTAGAAGCATACAGTAAAATCACGTTCTTTACTAAAGAAATCTTGAGCTGAGTATACGAAACCTCACAGAAAAATTAGCAAGCTCTAGGATGGAGAAAATTAGCATGAAAACTCCACATTTCTGATTAACAAAATCTTACCATTTTTAACAGCCATAATTCATTAAATAATAATTATATTATCTTCAATTGGAGATGTAACAATAATATACATACCAGAGCCCTTTACGCTTATTTTTATTTTCATTTTCTTCACAGCGATACTTTACAATTCGAAACTCCAATTCGGCTTATAGGTTCTGTATTCTGAAAATTTTATACTGGAGAATTGTTATTACCATTTGACAGCAGCTAAAAATCAATATAGTCACATATTTTCTGCATATGAACTCGCGAACCAGGTAGATCGCATAGAAAATAGCATTTACAAATAAGGTTTTTAATAAACTATAGCAGTCTAAAAATATATTTACACAGAACTCATGCAGATACTTTTCCAATAAATAGTTATTTAATATAACTCACCCAATTGGATTACAGAATGTGAAAGCAGGAAGCTGTAAGTAAGATGGCGCAGTCTGCTGAATATCTACTACAGTAGGATAAGTCCAATACAGTAATAAAAATTGTAAGGTTTGATAAAGGAATCCACCCAAGCAAAGTGAAACAACTAGACCCTTGAGAGCTATCAATCTAATATCTCTTCTTTTTGCCATACCTTTTGCGAACTTCTAAAATTCCTTCAACATTGTGGCTCTTCTTTAATACTCTATCTTAACTTAAAATACTCTGATATTTTCTCATATTCAGCTGCTCTGATGAGATACAATGCAGATACATGTTGTTCTTTGTTCCGATGCTGTACATAAGTTTGCACTTCATTTCCCTTTTCCTACGTATGCAGAAGAATGTGTAACCTATTCATTGACTTTGAATGAAAAGCACAAAAGCGAGCCTATCATAATATAATCCATTAAAACTATTTTTATGTAATTTTTCACCAGCAATTTATGACCTGCCCATAGCGTAAAAGCACGCAAGGAAGACTTCAGCAATGATTTAATTCACTGTCCTTTCATATGCTAATATTCATTTCAGTTTAAGAGATTCCTTTCAAAATAGAAAACTAGCCAACAGAGGACTGCGTTAACAAATATATCCTAATTCAAAAATAAAACTGCTAAGTGTTTTGGTTTCCGAAATGATATTTCAAGCACATTTACTGTGATTCATAAATTAAAAATTAAATTAATTACGTAAACAAAAAATTTCTGCTAAATACTAACATTTTTGGAGGTTTTACATGTTGTGTCTTTCCTATTTTTTTTTGCAATAATTAACAAAATCAACTAATGATCTATCTTGTGACTGACTTCGTTTCCACATTATAGTTAAATATATTTTTAAAAAAACTGCATATCTTATGAAGAAATCTGATCATATTATTAAACGTTGCTGAGAATTAAGTGATGCTGTAAGCAATGTAAAAATTTGCTCAATAACATGTCTTTAGTTTTGTTTATTTTATTATATACTTTTTGATTTTTATTTTGTATACTTTATACAGTTTTATTTATTTTTACTAATAATTATTTTAATTTGTGAGCCTTTCCTATTTTCTCTTATCACATGTTCTTTTTTCGCGTTCCCTCGCCAGAATATGTAAAGGAGTTAGGGTGAACGAGAGTATTTAAACTGTTAAACCGAAAAGTTTAGAAGAGCGTGATTCCGTTATTGTGAGCGCATGTTGCTGTTTTCTTATAGCTGTTAATCTTAATATCGGCTACGTATTCTTGCCGCCGAGTTATTATTCTGCCAATTTATGTTCTGAGTCAATCTATTAGCTTAAACTGAAAAGTGTAGTCTCGCATTACTGTTTGCTTTTATATTAAGTGTTAAAATATCTTTTAAGTTCTCACCGCAAGTGGTCTGTGCTTGTAAGCACGTAAGTCCGTGCAGTCTGTAAATTATACTAAATATAATTCATTAGAAGGACTTTCACAGCCACATATTTCCGACCATCTCGTCTGGCTGCTTCCTTTTAAGTTGTATTTTGTACACTTTTACATAATATACCATCGAGTAGTGCATCCGACAAAAAAAGCGAAGTATTTTCTGAGTAATTCCAAACAGATTAACAGCTTCCGGGCACGAAGGAGCAGAATGCACACCGACAAGGTACGAGGATTGAGCCAAACATGACACAAATTCCTCCAGCTTATTCATTTCTGTAATCCTAGCTTGTACTGTTTTAGAAATGCCAGCCATATTAGACTCGTTGTCGTAAGACTGACACCGACATTGTCTAATGTCTAAACCATCAAGTGTCAATTAAGACACTAATTTTCTATAATGAGTTCAGAAATACATTCTCCCATCTTTCCACCAACTTCAGTGAAATCAATTAAATTTTCCTTTATCTGACACACATCACCACACATTTTTACGTATTGAATCACCTGGTTCATTTTATCTGTATGAGACACATATGGAGTGCAATTGAGCATTATTGTGTAGTATTTGGCTTTTTTAATATCGTTTAAAATGCTACTTCACACTGTTTTAAGTTAATAACTTCATGTTGAATTATTTTTGGATATATATGATTCCTTTCCCTTTGTTAGGTTCTTTAACTGGTACTTATGAGTTGAATTATGTTTGGCAAGTGGAGAGATTTTAAATTCAGAAAATTTCCTTCGCTAGGTCGAGGACATTTTGTGAACAGGCTACTTGGAATTTCATCAGACCCAAGAAAAGAACGACAGTTTGTTGAAAGATATATTACCGTATCCATGATTATATAGAATTTCTCTGTGTGAATGAGTCGCTCAGCGTCGTGGTCGATGCCTTGGCACGATTTCATTTGTTGTACTCGAATTTTGCACTTAATCATGCACCTCTGTGGATTCAAGACACTTCATGCTCAGTTAATCTTGCTAAAACTCTTTTCCAATTAATGAATGCTGTAGTATGGTGTAGCGGCAGCACCAAGTTTCTGATAAATCTTGCAGGGTGTACAACAAATTGCATTCTTGTTTTTTAGAATATGTAAACCAAAATCTTCTAAGTTTTTCATTATTTACTAATGTTCTGTATTACATGTCAAATATCTGCCATCGCGTTCAATGGGACTAAGGTTTACTTTTTCTGGATATTTACCGGCTAATAATACTGACTGACTGCTTAAGAAAGATTGTTGGTGATCGTTCATTTTTTTCTATGACCAGCCAACTGCATGGGTCCAAAAAATGAAAATATTTTTAGTTTTTCGTTTTCTGCTGCCCGCTTCTATCTAAATGAAGAGATCTTTATATCATGGTTTCATGTCCTCCAGCTATTCGTTTGATGTCGATGAAGGTTGTTCTTTCAAATTCTGACTTGTAGATCGTTTGAGGATGATATATGCAGTCATGTTTTGTCGCGCAGATTGCAAGAAATATTAATACCCTCTAGAATCTCAGCATAATCGGAATTGCGGAACGGTCTGGCGGTTTACTTCTTCCGTAAAGTTATTTTTTCATCTTAGCTGAAATTTGTTTTCTCTGTTTGGCCTTATTTTTGGCTCGTTTTCAATATTCCGCTTTTCTCCCTCTCGGCGCGCAGATCGTTTCTTTTAATCTAAATGAAATACACTATGAATTGCTTTAATAAGAATAACTAAGAATTTACGTAATTACACTCAACAGTCCTAAATAAATGGTCGCGTCTCGCTAAATATAGTGCTGGCTATTGAAAGCAAGCATATCTAAGCAAAAAGGGGAAAAAAAAGAAAAAAGAAGAGTACAGAAGAGACCTGAAAACTTTAAAAAAAAAAAAAAAAAAAAAAAAAGGATAAAAAAAATAAATCTAGCTTTAAAATCCAAAACGCGCTCTACTGTTCCGAGTCAAACCAAAGGTGAACCTAAGTTGCCGACTGGCTGCAAAAAAATCTAAATGCCTTGCTTCATCTTGAAGACATAATGACGGTCTCTTGTATATACTCGACGAATATTAATTCGAATTATTTCATTTGTCCAGGATGGACCAAGGTTAATTTTTTGGATTAGCTCTTAGAAAATAGTTACAATGCTTCTCCATTTTACAGCAGACGTTGCTATGGAAACTAGGCTAAATCTTCAACAAGCTATCGTTCTGTTTCTCATTTGAATACACCCCGCCTAGACAGGAAACGATAGAGGGACTCCAGACGTTACTGATAGGGTCAATCTGATTCTATCAACGACGTCTGGAGTCCCTCTTTTGGCCTCTTACTGATCTTATATTTATAGTTGTAATCGGCTGTACTTTATTTTACCTCATGTTCCTTTAAAAGGGTTTTTAGTATTTAATTAGAAATCTTCTTAAAAGAGAATTTTAAACTTGGCCTTAAAACTGCACTGAAGTGCGACTGAATTAGGGATAGGTGGTCAATAACGAGTTGGGCCTCCTCTGGCCTTCATAATGCCTGAAAAACGACGAAGCATAGATTAAATAAGTTTCTGGGAGCATTGTACGAGAATGACTTGCCAAACTTCGGATTGAGGTGTCCATATTTCAAGAATGGTCGCTAGTGTTGAGTGATGTGGTTTAACTTTATCTCCAAAATATTCGAAATGTGCTCAGTAGGAATTTAAGTCAGAGCTTCTAGGTAGCCAATTTATTACAGGAAAGTGTCAAAGGGATGCTCATCCAATCGGGACCTGTGAGAGGTGCAGTTATGTTGCTGGAATACTCCATTTCTGTGTGAGTGATAGGCCTCTGTTAAGTAATCGGAATCGAGACTCATCATTCCATGCTATTCCTTTCCAGTCCTCTAGAGTCCATTCTCTAGCTTATCTTGTCCAGGCAAGATGTGCAGCTCGATACCATACATTAAGCAATGGTACTCTTGTGGGTCTACGGTTCCCGAAGCCCATATGGTGAAGCGAGCGTTGCACGATCCTTTTACTGACTGTACGACTGTCGCCCTGATTCGGCGGAGTGGTAATTTGAGCTAATGTTTGGCTTCGTTGACTATGTATAATACGGCTGAACCATCTCACACCACACTAGTTCTAGATTAATTGTCCTTTGCAATTTGCCCGTCCGCTAGTTCTTTATCCTACCATTCGTGTATTCTCGGTATACTCTTGACACTGTCGACCTTGAAAATCCTAGCCCGCTGAGGATTTTGGAAACTGAATGGCCCATTCGTCGAGTGCCTACTATCTATCCGAGATTGAAGCTGTCTAAATCAGAAGTTTTACCCGTCCTGGTAATTGAAACAACTGATTAACAACAACCATAGTACTAGCTGTATGTGCATTTACCTCGACTTCCTCCCGTAAGCAAAAATGCGGCGGAGAGCTATAAAATTTGCATAGCCATGTCTATCCCTAATTCAGTGGCACTTCAGTGTATTGAAATTGTACTAAAATTAAAGAGCTGTTTTAGCGAACAACATATTGTGTGTGTGTGTGTGTGTGTGTGTGTGATTATGGCAAAGCCTCGAGGGCTATCTGCCTAAGGGGAGGAATGCCTTCGTGGAGGACTTTCTAAGGGAAACTGGCTCGTATACACGTTACACATGGGGAAAACCACGAAAGCGCCCATTCAGCCAGCCCGTTCGCGGGATTCGAACCTCGGACCGAACTACCAGTGTTCAGCGACTTTACCGCTCGGCCGCTGGTGGGCCGAACAACATATTAAATACAATCTAGCGTTATATTTGAATTTGCCGCCCACAAAAGTTGCCGCC